TTTTGCAAAAGAAGGAGCTGGTGTTCAGAAAGATGAGGTACCTAAGGGAGGCAGTAAGGGCTAGAGTTGGGAACTGAACTCAAAAACATCAACCTCTTAAACTCAAGCTCCCTTGACCACCAGGGCTGGGCCAAAGTGCACCTTGAAGCCTTTCATGAACCTGCAAGCCCTTTGGGTTAGCCAAACTGCACAGCTGAACAGTGGTTTACTCAGTTGTAGCCTGATAGCCACCCACTTGGTGGAGGTTCGAATTGATGGCTTTATAGTTCATGGAGCAACAGGGAAACACGTTAACTGGAGACAGAAGGATACAAACCTGATCATATGCTGTGATAGCAGATATGTAAAAATAGTTATTTACACCTTTCAAAACTACCAGAAACGAAACATCACAGTGCTTGCATTAGTGCAATTTGAAATGCTTTCCCTATTTTTCCAAAAATTTCTATGAAATGTTTTTTATTTCTTTATCATTTCAGAAAGAAATTCTTAACTTAGAAATGCATCCAAGACACCCATGAGCATTTAACAGTCACTAACACTTTCCTCAGCTAGAAAATGAAAGCAAGCCACATCTTTCTGTTTCATCTGGTAGCACAGAGCTTGTGGCCAGGGCTTCTGAAGACAGTGCCCAGGCCTCACCAGCTCAGGCTCTGCCACTTCTGTACTGACTGTCCTGTGCTACACGACTCCCTGGCCTGTCACGGGAATTGAGAGATTCTAAAACTGAGAGGCAAATCCTTGGTGCCCAGGCTGAAAATCACCTTCTACCTTATGTCCCACTGCGCACCACTTGGCTCCTCAGCTACTGAACAGGGCATTTTTCTCAGTCTCAAATACCCTAAGGCACTTTAGGAGTATGACTTATTTCTTAGGAAACACTCTTGTTCCTTCATTAGAGTAGGTCTTCTAATGCCTTCTTCTAGACTGGTATTGTTCCAAAGTGGCATTTGTGTTAAAATACGCATTCCCAGCCCTATTCCAGACTTATTGAATCCAACTCTTTAAGCCAAAGCCCAGGAATCTGTATTTTAAGCACCCCAGCAAATTCTTAAGATAGTGTAAACATGGGAAACTCTACTACACAAAATGAATTTAAGTTTTGTGTGTGTATTTTAATGCAATATAACAGTCCTTAAATGGTGCTATAGTCCCTCCAAATGTCTTGAATTAAGGAGATCGCTTTCCATTGACTGATTACTTCAGTTGGGTCTCTCCTAAACACACCCTGAGCTCACATGTCTAGACTCTCAGCCCAGACTGCAATATCTCACACATCTTGCAGGGAAGAGGCAAAAAGGCAGATTTTGCACAGACCAGCCGCACTGATGACTCTGGGACCTTGGCCAACAAGGTATTTAACCTGGTCTGAGCCCATTTCCTTGTTTGTATGGGTACAAGAACGACAGCCTTGCCTTCAAGCAACAGTAACAGGGCACCAGGTACACATGGGCTCAGAGCCACCTCAGTCTAACTAGGGTGTGAAACCTCCTCTGATTCCTCATCAGAATCAGCTCGTATGTATTCCCTGTCACATCCACTTCTGATTTTATTCTGCCTTATAAGCTAAACATCTGTGTGGCTCTCTGACATGCAGAATCCCTTTTCCAGGTATTATCTGCATCACTCTCCAAAACAACTCTGAGTAGGGATAATTTTCTTCACTTTACAAGAAACAAGTCCCCCAGAAATCAAATGACCTTCCCAGAAGTGGTAAAGCCAGAATTTGAACTCACATCCCACAGTCTTTCACAACCCTGTAGTCCCTAACATATGCAGCATACAACACATAGCACTTTCACATCAGAGCATTTTAAAAATATGTATTTCCATGACAGTTTCCCCTGCTAAACCTGAAAGCACCTAGAAAGCAGGTACCATATTGTGTTAGTCTTTGAAGGGAAGTGCGCAGAACCTCTGGGTGTTTGTATCTCCACCACCCTTAGGGAGAAAAATGTTCAAGCCTCAAGAACGATGCACATTTTTTCCCACTCTCATGCATTCTACACTTCTCATGCCCTAACTGCCCCATGCCATTAAAATGAACCCATCTTAAAACATGAACTTACTGAACACTTCTACATGTCACGAACTTTACCTAACTTATGAAATGAGTTAAACTGTGTTAAATGCTTACACAAAAGTTCTAGTACATAGTATCTGTTACTGTTTTTGCTATTGTTATTTAATTATCCATACACACTGAGGTTTTCCTCATCATACTGATAAGGACTCTGAGAAATTAATGATTGGTCCAGGATCACATTGGGAAAATACCATAAAAAGAAATTCACATCTATACATCTTATTAGTAAGCACATATTATTTCACATTACAAAGGATTATTTTTATTTTCTAATATAAAATTCCTCAAAGAGGCAGCCAGATCCTCTACTTGCCGCAAGACCTTGAGTTTTTGTTTACAGATCACCAATGATCTAATGGTCTAGTGTATAAACCATTAGAGAAACCAGAGGTCAAAGTTTTCCAGCCAACGCCTAAAAGCCAATAACAAGAAACTAAGAAAATAAGTATCACCAACATTCATTGAGCATTATATATAGTATGTGTATGTATATGTGTGTATACACACACACATAATCCTTATAGCAGCTCTGCAAGGTTATTACCTCATTCTTATGGAACAGAAAATGGAAAAACTCAAGAGGTTAAGCCCAAAGCAGGCAGGGGAGCCAGGCCTGGAACCCAGCTGTCAGCTCCAAACTGTTACCATGTCCAATATACCACACTTACTTCTCAGGCATTACAGGAAGGAACATGCAAATCAACAGGAAGATCGAATGTTGGGCAAGAGGCATGTTAGAGACTCAGTTACTGAATGAGATAAAAATTATGTAACTTGAAAGATCATTTAAGATACAAAATAAACCAACATCAGGTGACACTGTACCCAACTTCCTGAAGGTAACCATGGGCCACATCTAACAGTTCTAACCCCCTATAACCATTTACACAGATTGATTCAAATTATCAGGGAGTCTGAATCTCAGGTCATTTTAAGTGATAAAGGTGACTGGTCCAGAGCTGTCCTGTGAAGTAAGAGAAAATGACCCTCTTCTGAGACAGCCCTTTAGATCTGTAGACAGCTGCAACCACATCCTTGATGAAGATACAACCACATCCTCTATAAATTTTCTCTCCTTTGGCCTGAATATTTGGTCCCTCCCCTCCTCTATACATTTAATATCCTTAAATGAGGAAAATGATTGTCTACATCAAAGAATTAATGAAACTTTATTAGAACAAAATAGAGGAACAGAGATAGAAGTCCTTGAATGGTAAAAATATCAGTTCAAATTCTCCATCAAGGGATAGGCAACTCAGAGACAGTTTATACCCCTCCAAAAAGACAAGTGCTTTCCCCGTCCCCAGATGATACGGGCGCCAGGTTCTGGGGCAAATCCGTCTGCCTTCTTTGGAGTGAGAAGTCCAGGTTCAGAACAGGCCGCTGATCCCAGAACCCTACCGGCTTCCTGCCCGCACACCACCACGCTCCATGGGGTCTGATCTGGATCGCACCATCACCCGCAAATCACACGCCACGCAAGGACAACGAGAAGGCTTTATGAAAAATCCAAAGTTTATTGCAGATTGTATTTTGCTTCCCTCCGTTCTTCATTTTTACAGGATTTATTGATATCCATGATTTTTTCACAGATGTACTTGTTCACTTTGGAGAGTCTCTGTGCAATTTCAGTTTCATCCACAGTTTCTTGTGCTATTCTGTCATACAAACACTCTAGATAGGGAAAAGAAATGAGATGGCCAAGGGTTAATGGTGAATTCAAATACAAATCTTTTAAGGGGGGAAAAAACCCAAAAACCTCCTGACTCACTTTCCAAATGCCAGTTCTGCACAGTTGTATTTTAAAATTTTTATTACAAAATGTATTTAGAAAAGAGTAGAGTCACTGTAAATTTATACTTTAAAAATAATGATACAACACCCATGTGCCCAGCCTAAGGGACATGGCTGGGCCCTTTGAAGCTCTGGANTCCAGGATCACATTGGGAAAATACCATAAAAAGAAATTCACATCTATACATCTTATTAGTAAGCACATATTATTTCACATTACAAAGGATTATTTTTATTTTCTAATATAAAATTCCTCAAAGAGGCAGCCAGATCCTCTACTTGCCGCAAGACCTTGAGTTTTTGTTTACAGATCACCAATGATCTAATGGTCTAGTGTATAAACCATTAGAGAAACCAGAGGTCAAAGTTTTCCAGCCAACGCCTAAAAGCCAATAACAAGAAACTAAGAAAATAAGTATCACCAACATTCATTGAGCATTATATATAGTATGTGTATGTATATGTGTGTATACACACACACATAATCCTTATAGCAGCTCTGCAAGGTTATTACCTCATTCTTATGGAACAGAAAATGGAAAAACTCAAGAGGTTAAGCCCAAAGCAGGCAGGGGAGCCAGGCCTGGAACCCAGCTGTCAGCTCCAAACTGTTACCATGTCCAATATACCACACTTACTTCTCAGGCATTACAGGAAGGAACATGCAAATCAACAGGAAGATCGAATGTTGGGCAAGAGGCATGTTAGAGACTCAGTTACTGAATGAGATAAAAATTATGTAACTTGAAAGATCATTTAAGATACAAAATAAACCAACATCAGGTGACACTGTACCCAACTTCCTGAAGGTAACCATGGGCCACATCTAACATTTCTAACCCCCTATAACCATTTACACAGATTGATTCAAATTATCAGGGAGTCTGAATCTCAGGTCATTTTAAGTGATAAAGGTGACTGGTCCAGAGCTGTCCTGTGAAGTAAGAGAAAATGACCCTCTTCTGAGACAGCCCTTTAGATCTGTAGACAGCTGCAACCACATCCTTGATGAAGATACAACCACATCCTCTATAAATTTTCTCTCCTTTGGCCTGAATATTTGGTCCCTCCCCTCCTCTATACATTTAATATCCTTAAATGAGGAAAATGATTGTCTACATCAAAGAATTAATGAAACTTTATTAGAACAAAATAGAGGAACAGAGATAGAAGTCCTTGAATGGTAAAAATATCAGTTCAAATTCTCCATCAAGGGATAGGCAACTCAGAGACAGTTTATCCCCCTCCAAAAAGACAAGTGCTTTCCCCGTCCCCAGATGATACGGGCGCCAGGTTCTGGGGCAAATCCGTCTGCCTTCTTTGGAGTGAGAAGTCCAGGTTCAGAACAGGCCGCTGATCCCAGAACCCTACCGGCTTCCTGCCCGCACACCACCACGCTCCATGGGGTCTGATCTGGATCACACCATCACCCGCAAATCACACGCCACGCAAGGACAACGAGAAGGCTTTATGAAAAATCCAAAGTTTATTGCAGATTGTATTTTGCTTCCCTCCGTTCTTCATTTTTACAGGATTTATTGATATCCATGATTTTTTCACAGATGTACTTGTTCACTTTGGAGAGTCTCTGTGCAATTTCAGTTTCATCCACAGTTTCTTGTGCTATTCTGTCATACAAACACTCTAGATAGGGAAAAGAAATGAGATGGCCAAGGGTTAATGGTGAATTCAAATACAAATCTTTTAAGGGGGGAAAAAACCCAAAAACCTCCTGACTCACTTTCCAAATGCCAGTTCTGCACAGTTGTATTTTAAAATTTTTATTACAAAATGTATTTAGAAAAGAGTAGAGTCACTATAAATTTATACTTTAAAAATAATGATACAACACCCATGTGCCCAGCCTAAGGGACATGGCTGGGCCCTTTGAAGCTCTGGATGCCCCTCCCCAATCCCACCCTCTCCTTGTCCTCACCAGAGGAAACCACTCTCCTGAGTTTTTGCTTTTCTTTTAATGTTAACACGTATGCCTATGTCCTACACAACATATATACATATATTTCCCTGTTTTTAAGTTCTTTATAAGGCTGGAACTGCAACCAAATAAGGGAGAAAATCTGTGCTGAGAAATATTTAGAAGCTCAGGTGTTTGAATCTCTAACACCAGTTGCTGGACAACCTCTAGTGGGAACCTCTCTGAGTCTCAGGTTCACCACCTATGAAAGTAGGATGTCAAACCAGACAGTCCAAGGAGAGTCTTCCTGTTATAAGTCTTAAGTTCTCCGAAAGGTAATAAGGCTGGGTAAAGGGGCAAAGGAGAGTGAAGGGGGAAGAAGCAGCGTGGGTGTGATGGTCCTTAGAGCCCTTAGCATGAGCTGAAGAAGAGGCAGGAAGAGAAAGACGCACATGGAAGAAGGTCAGAGAGGCCTCCACCGAATGCCAATCATTCTCAGCTCCCAAGGGTAAGAGCATTGAACGGGCTCTCAACTTGATTAAAAGGCTTTCGTTAGACTCTAGATATTAATCACCTGCAGTTGCCGGGAATGTCTCCCTCTGCGAGGGAGCATTTGAGATTATTGCTTAATTAACAAGGTTTATAACAGTGCTAATGTGTCCTATTAAGAAAGTTATAAAAATTAACCAGAACTCAATGCTGTGGCTCATTTAGAAAATTCAGACACTCTGCAAAAGGTAATTTGACCTGAATAAGGTTTAACTGTTATTCTGGAACTTGTCTTTAAAGCGAGACTCTCCCCCAGCCCTCTTGCTTTCATTTTTCTAAAGCAGTGGCAATGTTTACCCCACCCCTCTCCTATCCGGTAAGGAATGACTTTAAAACCAAAGAGAAGAGAAAATCCCCATTAACCCTGTGAGCATCCAGGCTTCTATCACTTCTATACAGCAAGTGGGACTAAATATGGTAAAATCATACAAAACAAGTACAAACAATCTCAATCCAGAAGACAGCTTGCATGGGAAAAACCAGTCAAATGCAATCTGGAAGACCTCAAATAATTAGGCGAAAAATGGTGAGTATATGGTGGAATGGGAGACAGGCTTCAAACCTGCCTGGTTGTAGTAAAGAGAAAACAAATCAACATTTCATTTTGGTATGACAAGAAACCTCTGGGGACAAGGGGAAGCCTGAGAGCCCAGTCCTGACTGGCTCTGATCTAACTAGCTGTGTGGCGTGGACATATCAATTTCCTTCTCATTCACTTGCACAGCAAGCATTTATGGGCTCTAAGGGATTGCTAGACCTGGTGCTGGGAGGCAAAGATAAAGTAAGAAGAATAGCTGTAGGCACAAGGTGCTCTGGGGCATAGGACGGAAGCATTCACCCACCCTAAGAGGTCACGGAGGGCTTCCTGGAGGAAGGTTCTCCTAAGCAGATCTGGCTGGTGAGCAGCAGCTAGCCGTGCAAAGCAGCAGAGGTGTAGGGTGGGTAGAATGATCTGTATTCCAGGCACCAGGAACAGCATTTACAAATTCCCTAATGTGAGAGGGAACAAGGCTTGTTCAGGAAAAACAATAGTTTATTATGACAGGAACTCAGAGTTCAAGGGGAATGCTGCTGAAAAATAAAGCTGTGCTGTGGCCAGGGGCCAGATTATCAAGGTGCTTTTGTGACATGTTAAGAAGCTTACTCTTGAATAATGGGCACCATGGACTGGCTCTGATGGGGCGAGGGTAACAGGATCATATCGGTTTTTGAAAGATCACTGTGGCTACATAGCAGAGAGAGGATTTGGCAAACTGCTGGAGTAGTTGAGGTGAGAAATAATGTGGCCCAGGCTTTAAAGGGGCAGTGGGTATGGAGAGAAGGAGATGACTCAAGAAGGGTTTGGAGGAAGATCAGATGGTGAGTGAGGCATGTGGAGGAGTCAGGATGAAGCACCTCTGGGTCCCTGGCTGGGGGTGCCATTCTCCAAGAAAGGGAACAGAGAATAGGCAGAAGGCTTGTGGGAGAAGAAAAAGGAGAGAGCAGTGACTGGTGCAGGTTTCCCACTGTTCTGCAGACATCCACGAGGAGATGACCAGTGGGCACCTGGGTGTACGGATCAGGAACTCAAAAGTGTGAACTGATTTGGGAATCAGCATTTATTGACTCAACAAATATTTATTGAGCACTTACTAAATGCTAGCCCTGAACAAGATGCTCCTCCTAAAGCTTAGATTCTATTGAGGATGGAGGAGAAAGAAGTACCAAGTAAACAAGTAAGAAATGATATGCAGGACCTTTAGGTGGTGTGGTGTGACAGAGAGCAATGGAAAGCCTACTTCAGATGGCACAGTTGGGAAAGGTCTCTCTGAATGCCCAGGAGGAGGCAGGGTGTGCAGATCAGAAGAGCTGGCAGTGCAACAGGAAGGAATGGCAAGAAGGCCTCCGTGGAGAGAGCACAGTGGGAAATGGGAAGTGTGGTGGGAGGTGAGGTCAGAGGGGTCACGAGAGGCCAGATCACCAGGCGTCAGATAGGATGAGGAGTGTGGAACTGTGGATTTCAATCCAGGGCCATGGGCACACCAGGGCACTAGGGACATGGAAAGTGAGATAGCTGCCTTTGTGGTCCACTGGGCAGCCAGGACCAGGGCCGTAAGCCTGGCTTTACAGATGGAGACACCAAGCACCCACTTGGAAGTGGTGTTGTGCTAGGCTTGTGGAGTTAAACCACAACAAAGTTAGGGATCTATCCCAGGCCTTTTGATATGTCATCCTAATCTCTACTTTTCATCACGCTGCACTAGAAGTGGGCAGGAGAGGGCCTGAACGCTGTAAAACCCTGAGCGATGGTGGACTTTAGGGATGTGACCATCATGAGGTCTTGTCACCTCCAAGGATGCAGCTTGTCAACAAAGAATGGTAACTTCTTTTTACCCCTGAAATATAACTGTTTGCAAGCCATAATCCTGGGCAGCTCTCTTTACTGTCTTAAGAGATATGTTTTCAGCTGAGGAAACTGAGACATGGAGGGAAAGCGATCTTTAAGAAATCACGCCAAGGGTTGGCCAGGGGATCAGCCTGCAGGTCAGCATTTCATTTACTGAGCTCCTACTGTGTGCTAGGCCCTGTAGTAGGCAGTGAGGACATGGACAGCAATCAGGTATGGTCAGACTAGTGCCTAAGGCAGACACAGAGCATATGATTTTAGAGCGCGAGGTGACAGTGGTAGAGCAGTCAGTCACAGCAAGGCACCTGAGACCTGCTGAGTCACATTCCAACAAGTGTAACAGTATCAGAGGTCAGCCACCCATTAGGGAGGGCAGGTCTGCATCCCCAAAAAGGCCTCGTTCTCAAGGCAACCTCCCAAGTACCATTTCAGACAGCTGTAGGCACAAGGTGCTCTGGGGCATAGGACGGAAGCATTCACCCACCCTAAGAGGTCACGGAGGGCTTCCTGGAGGAAGGTTCTCCTAAGCAGATCTGGCTGGTGAGCAGCAGCTAGCCGTGCAAAGCAGCAGAGGTGTAGGGTGGGTAGAATGATCTGTATTCCAGGCACCAGGAACAGCATTTACAAATTCCCTAATGTGAGAGGGAACAAGGCTTGTTCAGGAAAAACAATAGTTTATTACGACAGGAACTCAGAGTTCAAGGGGAATGCTGCTGAAAAATAAAGCTGTGCTGTGGCCAGGGGCCAGATTATCAAGGTGCTTTTGTGACATGTTAAGAAGCTTACTCTTGAATAATGGGCACCATGGACTGGCTCTGATGGGGCGAGGGTAACAGGATCATATCGGTTTTTGAAAGATCACTGTGGCTACATAGCAGAGAGAGGATTTGGCAAACTGCTGGAGTAGTTGAGGTGAGAAATAATGTGGCCCAGGCTTTAAAGGGGCAGTGGGTATGGAGAGAAGGAGATGACTCAAGAAGGGTTTGGAGGAAGATCAGATGGTGAGTGAGGCATGTGGAGGAGTCAGGATGAAGCACCTCTGGGTCCCTGGCTGGGGGTGCCATTCTCCAAGAAAGGGAACAGAGAATAGGCAGAAGGCTTGTGGGAGAAGAAAAAGGAGAGAGCAGTGACTGGTGCAGGTTTCCCACTGTTCTGCAGACATCCACGAGGAGATGACCAGTGGGCACCTGGGTGTACGGATCAGGAACTCAAAAGTGTGAACTGATTTGGGAATCAGCATTTATTGACTCAACAAATATTTATTGAGCACTTACTAAATGCTAGCCCTGAACAAGATGCTCCTCCTAAAGCTTAGATTCTATTGAGGATGGAGGAGAAAGAAGTACCAAGTAAACAAGTAAGAAATGATATGCAGGACCTTTAGGTGGTGTGGTGTGACAGAGAGCAATGGAAAGCCTACTTCAGATGGCACAGTTGGGAAAGGTCTCTCTGAATGCCCAGGAGGAGGCAGGGTGTGCAGATCAGAAGAGCTGGCAGTGCAACAGGAAGGAATGGCAAGAAGGCCTCCGTGGAGAGAGCACAGTGGGAAATGGGAAGTGTGGTGGGAGGTGAGGTCAGAGGGGTCACGAGAGGCCAGATCACCAGGCGTCAGATAGGATGAGGAGTGTGGAACTGTGGATTTCAATCCAGGGCCATGGGCACACCAGGGCACTAGGGACATGGAAAGTGAGATAGCTGCCTTTGTGGTCCACTGGGCAGCCAGGACCAGGGCCGTAAGCCTGGCTTTACAGATGGAGACACCAAGCACCCACTTGGAAGTGGTGTTGTGCTAGGCTTGTGGAGTTAAACCACAACAAAGTTAGGGATCTATCCCAGGCCTTTTGATATGTCATCCTAATCTCTACTTTTCATCACGCTGCACTAGAAGTGGGCAGGAGAGGGCCTGAACGCTGTAAAACCCTGAGCGATGGTGGACTTTAGGGATGTGACCATCATGAGGTCTTGTCACCTCCAAGGATGCAGCTTGTCAACAAAGAATGGTAACTTCTTTTTACCCCTGAAATATAACTGTTTGCAAGCCATAATCCTGGGCAGCTCTCTTTACTGTCTTAAGAGATATGTTTTCAGCTGAGGAAACTGAGACATGGAGGGAAAGCGATCTTTAAGAAATCACGCCAAGGGTTGGCCAGGGGATCAGCCTGCAGGTCAGCATTTCATTTACTGAGCTCCTACTGTGTGCTAGGCCCTGTAGTAGGCAGTGAGGACATGGACAGCAATCAGGTATGGTCAGACTAGTGCCTAAGGCAGACACAGAGCATATGATTTTAGAGCGCGAGGTGACAGTGGTAGAGCAGTCAGTCACAGCAAGGCACCTGAGACCTGCTGAGTCACATTCCAACAAGTGTAACAGTATCAGAGGTCAGCCACCCATTAGGGAGGGCAGGTCTGCATCCCCAAAAAGGCCTCGTTCTCAAGGCAACCTCCCAAGTACCATTTCAGACAGCAGGCAGATTAAAGGTTACATCTGATTGTCTAACAATAAGCAGCTGCCTAAATCAATTAATCATGAGTCAGCCAGGCAAGGGAGGCAGCTGTGCTACCGCACACACGGCAGTGGACACTCAGGGACCAGTGGTAAAGAAGCCAGCTTCCGAAGCTGGCCCTCCCGGCTTGGCCTCCTGCTCGCCCTCTACAAGCTGTATGATCTGGGCAAGTTACTTAACATTTCTGTTTCTCAGTTTCCTTAGCTGTAAAACGGATAATAATTGTAGTCAATAGTAGGAGTGTTATGAGGACTAAATGACTTCACATATGCAGAAGTTCTTTTTTAAAACAGAACCATTTAAAAAAAGGAACCTAAAACATCCTAAGTGCTCAGAATAACCAGCAATTACTACATCCTCTCGGCTCCTGTGTGCTTCTTTGTCCATCTCCATAACCTGTACAGTAACTACTGGTCTTGGGTTCATCTTTCCCGTGAGACTGGGAGCCCCTTGCTGATGAAGACTGGGTCGTATCCCTCTTTGTCCTCCACAGCCAGTAGGGCACCTGGCGCAGAACGGGAGCTTGGCGGATGGATGCGGAGAAGGTGGGAGAGAGAGGGGAAAGAAAGGAGAAAGAGGGAAGAGAGGGAAGGAGGAAAGCGGGGAGGGAGGCAGAGGGCAGGAGGGAAGAGCAAGAGAACAGGATACAGCCCTATCTTCAGGGTGACAAATGACCCGTCTCTGCCTTACTGTTGACCCCTGCTGAACACCAGAAAGGCTGAGCCCAGTGACCCCCAGCTGGTCTTCATCTCATTAACTGCTCCAGGCACGATGCTCAGACCCCCACGAACTGCATCCCTGGCCTGACCTTCACTGCCCTCTGTACACAGTAGCACTCCTTTCCCACCTCCACGCCTTTGTGTCTGATGCTTCTGCCTCCCCAGAACCTCCCTCCGCACGTCTGCATCTCCCTGCCTGAAGTGCCCATCAAGGCCCAGGCAGTGATCTCCTTCCCCAGGAACCCTGCCCTGACGGTCGGGCTGGGGGCCTCCTCCCCTCCTGAATGCTCCCCGAGCCTGTCCTCTGCTCCTCTCCCGCACCAGCTCTGCACGGTGTCCCCAGCTCATGGGCCCTTAAAGGGAGCTCTTCTGGGACAAGGTCGGCATCTGCTCCTGAGCCTCGGTGCCCAGCCTGCGACCCGGAGTGGTGAGGCCTGTGTCTGCTGAACTGAAGCGGGCCCGGCACCTGCGCTGCCCAGCCGGCGCCTTACCTCTGACGACGCTCAGCTTGTGGGGCGAGAGGGGCGGCTTTGGGACCGCATCTTTCTTTTTTTTTGTGGCAACTCCTGTGACGCTTCTGTTCTTCAGAACATCTGTTCCCCAAATCATGACTGCCAAGTTCTTTGTGTACTTGGAATCTCCTTGGGTTACTTGCAGCTGGTGCCATTTCTCCTCATCAACCCAAATCCCGCTTCCCAGATGGACCTGAAAGGGGTTAAGAACACAAGCACCTGCTTAGTCGGACAGGACGGCTGCTGGAAACTCTCCTTGTCCTTCACAAGACATTGCTGCATAACTCTAAGGGACTCTTTCCATCAGGACTGAGTTAACATTCCTTAAGGGAAATAATCATACTCATTTACGGGACACCTGTGAGATGCCAGGCCTTATTCTAGGATTCTAGGGCTTTATATCCACCATCTCAAATCTTCAGGGCAACCCTGGAAGGAATGTTCATTCCAGGTGGAAAAATGCAGTTGAGAAATGTGAAAAAACGTGCCCCAGGTTATTCAGCTACTGGGCTGCAGTGCTGAGATTCTAAGCTGCACTCACATCACCCACAGGTAGCTCAGAGCTGGACCGGGTCTCAGGAACACATGTTCAACTCCTTTCTCTGTTGCCCTTTAGGGAGACCTATTTCCCTTTAATGTGACCGTCCTGGAACACGCAGCCTCCCAGTACTCAACCTTGGTGACCCAGAGTCACTTGGTGCCTGCGCCAACGTTCCCAAAGAGTCTGATGTATTCTTTTTGGTGGGGTCTAGGTAGCAGGATGGTTTAAAGTTCCCTCAGGAATTCCAGCATCCAGCTAAGTCTGAAAAGCACCATCGGCTGGAGTGGGGAGGGCAGCCGTCCCGGCTCTGCCACAAATGGGGCAGTGTGTGTGCGAGTCCTTTCCCATCTCTGGTTTCGGTCTTCTGTGAACTGAACTGAGAGTTGGGGCTCATCTTTTAAGTTTCTCCTGGCTCAGAACACCTGTGATTTTAATAAATTAAACACAATCACAGTGTCCCTGGTCTGATTCGGCCAGCACACAGAACAGAATACAATCCTATGCTCCCTATAATGGAAGCACTCTGAAAATTTCAGTGCAGAGTCAAAAAATGCAAAAGACCCAGAATGACCTAGCAATGAGCTACAAGCTTTGCAATTTTTCCTCCTTTCTGGCTCTCTTAACAACTCAAAAGCCATTTGCTAACATTAATCATTGAAAAATGGAGTTTTGACTTTGACATTGCCATTTATGGTGTGTTTCTGCTGAGTCTATGGAAAGTGAAAATGGCCTTTGCAGGGACAGAGGAGAGGCAGCTGCTAACGAGCTCCTCTTTAGGGGGAATGAAAAGGCTCTGCCAAAGGTCCCAGTCTTCAGAAAGGCCTGCAGGTTGTCAGCATCGCATGGTCAGATGCCTCAGGAGAAGTCCTGGTTGGAGAGACTGCACACACACTCAAACTGATGGCAGACTGGCAAGACCCATGCATGACTAAAAATCTTTCTACTGAAAGACTGGCTTGGAAAGGAAGGTGGGCACACACAGATTGGCAGGCAGGTCAGCCAGCGACACTTCTTCCTTACCAATTACTGAGGTTTTCAACCATCATAAAGAAAAAAATAGCAACACAGTTTACCCATGCATGTTGGTAAGTAAGCAATCCACCTACCACAAGTCTGATTTTACTTCCTTTGGCTCAAAAGATCATTCAGGCCTCTGCGGGCATGATATCAGATAACTAGAGCCACTTGGCCTTCCTGTGCTGCAAACTTCAGAATGGCGAATCCGTTCGTACAGCTCAGAAAGATAAGCAGCCCTGGACTGAGATGTGCTGCCTGGAGCTGGGCTGGGGAACCTGACCCTAGGTCACGTCTGTCCTTTGCCCTGCCGTCGGAACTGCAAGTGGGCAGCCTGTGTGTCAGTTGAGGCATGCTGGGGACAGGCTCCCTGAAGCTCCCTGCTGGACCCCAAGTCACCTCCCTTGATGACACCCAGGAGCTACCCATGAAAGCTCCCTGAGGTGGTAGAAAAACAAGGAATCTGAACTGGATTAATTTTAGAACCAGAAAAATCTTAAAGATGGAAGACAACGTCAGGTTTCCGAAGATCTCTGCTCTTTTCTACTTTGGGCCTTGCTTTCCTATAATCTCTTAATTTATTATTTTTAAAAGAAAGATGATAGTCATTTTAGCCAATGTTCTACAAGAGAGAGGGGACAGTAGTATTTTTGTAATGAACCAGGTATTGTACTTCCAATTTATTTCATGTTCACAATGACCTTAAGAGAAATTATTATTGCTGCTTTACAGACATGGACAGAGATTCTGAAGGACTACATTACTTTTCCTAAGACACACTATTAGTAACTTTTGGACACAAGATTCATGCCCAAATCCGTATGACCCTCAAGTGCCTGTTCTCTCAGCCTTCCTGCTGCCTCCAGCGTTACGGTGGTACTCATGTGGTAGAAATACAGCAGATCTAACATATCAACATTCAATTCATTTTCATTTTGCGTTTTCCTTTGTACCAGCCCAGCCACTTCCCTTGCCAGCACCCACTGCAGTTCACCACTGTGGACAGGGAAACCAGGAAAAAGGCCATGGGCTGGCCTTCCTGCCTCCAGTCCCTGCTTCCTCCAACCCCCACCATAAACACTGACAGATTAATTTCCCTAAAACATGGCTTTCCTTCTTTGACTGGATGACTTCCGCAGGCTTTCAACTCTGTTTTTATGTCAACCCTCTGGAATCTTTAACTGGCTCTGTTTCCTGTCACATCAAATCCAACCTGCTCAGTCAGCTTTAAAGGCTCTCTAGAATCCTTTTTCCATTCAACCTACTAACCTTTACCTCCCTTGTCTATCGCTCTAGGACGCTCCCGGACCCTTTCACTTCCTGTAACAGAAGGTGGATGGGCTCTGGAGCGTCCACACCCATCTGTGAGTCCCGGCCCTTCCACCTACCTACTGGGCATCTTGAGCTACTCAATTTAGCTATCTGAGTCTTACTTTTGTCCGCACTACAACAGGCAGAACACCACCTAATTCACAGGGCTATTTTAAGGATTAAACGAGAGAAAATGAGGAAAAGGTCAGGACAGCACACATCCATTAACTGTTACTTCCTTTGCCTTCTTTCCCCCACCCGGGTCTCTGCTCATGACTTCTCCCCATCCAGGAATGAATGCCTTCCTTAAGCTTGCTAATCTTTCAGGCCAAAGCCCAAACTTTGGGAAAGACTCCTTACCTACTCTCAGGCTAAGTTCTAGCATACGGAGAGCCTTCCCCCCTGCCCCAGCCCTTCACAGTACCTCTCCATGGCCAGGGGTCGAGGCCTCTCCTCCCGCTTCTGCTACAGAGTGACCAGCACTAATCTGAACACAAAGCAGTAAGGAACTGATGGGCACATTCGGTATGTTTTAATGGCACTGTCTTTCACTTCCGATGAGCTGTGCCTTGGAGGAGAGAATATTTTCTGACATGCCCTCGAGTACAAGGCCAACTTTACTGCAGTGAAGGAACGGCATCACAGGTACACATAGCGGCATCTGGGACAAGGGCTCCCAAGGTCAGCAGACCCAGGGGCACCTGGAGCAGTGCTCAGCTTTCAGGGATGCAGCAGCAAGACTGCAAAGAGCACTGGCTCGAGAACCACGAGGTCTGGCTTCCAGCTTCTGCCTGCCCGCCTCTAACCTGCGGTATAGTTGTAAATGGGTCCCTTCTCTGATCTGTTTCCCCACCTATACTATGTATAAACTATTTAAACTTTAATGGTTTTTGCAGCTTTGTGACTCAATGAGCTTTTGAAATAAAACACCTTAGACAAAGGGAAACAATGCACTTTATCAAAATCAGAAAGTAATGTTTGTGACAGGCTTTACTCATATAGACCGCAGTTCACTACTTGACCGAAATGGTAGCCTTATGTGTGAAGGGAGGTTATTAAAAACATGGCATCTGGTAGGATGGGACTTGATTAAAGGACATCTTTGTGAAATGTTTTGTAGGACAAAACTAGTTTCCTACTAGGAAATGCATCCCATTTAGAGTTCTGTGCTTTGCAGAGGTTAAGGCTGTTGTTCACACAGGCAGAGAGAAGAGTCAGAGACACCAGCACAGCCAAGAATAACGAAGGCTGCTCCCGGGGATGTAGGGACGCTGCTCTGGGAGGCTGCCGTCTGTTTCTAGTGTGTCCGCTTCCTTTCCTCTCCCTTACTAAATTCTCTGCCTGGCTATAAATTGGCTGCCAACAAAAACCAGATCATTTTATAGCAACATATTTGCAACAACCAATAAAAAAAAACAAAATTAGTATTTTTAAGATTTGTTGTGTAACTAGTGTGAGAAAATTAAATGAGGTCTGAGAGAACCATTTTCTGGAGGAAAAATGGTTATCTTGACAAAAGAGGCCCCCAGCATGCTCAAAAACTGCCCATCGGTCTTCAAGCAAGAGAGAAATAGAGTTCTCTTGGAGGCTACTTTAAGAAGAAGTCTCCAGTCACCGCACAATGTGATCATGACTAGAAATAAATCAACAAACACATAAGAGTTCTTTCTTTTTTTGATCTCCAGTTGGGGAAGGTTCACTAAACTTAGATACGCAATTGGTTAATAAACGCCTATGGAGAATATCAACTTGATCCTACCTTGCACAAATAGGGATGCTGAAGCCCAAAGAAGGGAAGGACCCACCCAAGGTCACACTGGTAGGATGGAGCTAGAGCTACACTTAGAACTCAGGTCCCTGGCTGCCTGCTTCCAGTCTGTCATGCCACCTCTCCCCTGCAAAGCAGACTTCCAAAGCCTGGTGGCGGGAGCAATGCAAGGCAGAATGGCCCTGTGGCCGGGCCCATCAGTTCTGCCTCTGCAGGCGAGGAAGTGCTCAGGGGAAGATGAAGGAATGGCAGCATATCCACGAGAACCCTAAAGACTAACAGGTTTTATTTCCTCAGCTTGACAATATTTGCTTTGTCTCAGTCAGGCCAGTTGCAGGGATATATCTGGACAAATCCAAATAAAACAACCTTTTCTTTCTTATCCCCACTGGGGAACAATACAGGATAAGCAGAGACCTTCTGAAGCACAAGGCAAGAAAAACAGACTGACCCAGATCATTCTTTAGGGAGAATAAAAGGGGATGTCTGTAATGTATGCCACGGTGGCAGAAACACCACACTAAAACCCAATCCGACCAGTGCCCAGACAAAAGTCTCCAATACGCTTCTTCCAAGATGAATTCATTTGACTGTTAGAACAGTTTTCTCTCTGCCCTGCTGCTGTATCGTGTGATTTTAAGAGTTGCAAAGGCTATTCCATTACTTTTCAGGCCTGTACCAATATAATTACTAATAGGGCTATAGTTCTCTTTTCTGATTTTTTTTCCAAGGGTCCATCAAGAAAATCTGAGGAGTTATATGTGGTCCTAGGACTGTGGGCTATCCACTGCTGACTATACAGCTTGAAAGCAGCTTAGGGCCAAGGAGCATGTCTCATTTACCTGTGCATCCTGGTATCCAGCACAAAGCTTAGAACATAGAGATACTTCATAAATGGCGAAGGGATATTTATCGAGTTGTCATCTGCAGATCAGATATTTCATTTTTAGTTCATCTTACACATTGTCTGCATCTGGTTTCACAGGATGGTAGGGCAAGTTTTACCAAATGATTGTTTTTTTTAAATTTTTCTCATTAATAAACTATTTAAAAATGTCCATTTAGTCCAACAGTTGCTTTGGACCAAAATTTAAAAAAAGAAAAAAAAGAAAGAGAACAAGAAAAAGAAAAAGTCCCAAGAAAGCTCCACTAGTTATAACACATGAATTCTGGAAAAAGTCACTCAGGACAAAGCCAGGAGGCCAAGTGGTCAAGCTGCGTGTCAGGAAGCTCCCATCACACTCTCCATCTTTACTCTGACTAACAAACACTTGCAGGGTACGGATATTGAGCTTGAAACACTACCTTGCCATTGTCTAGGATATACTTGTCCATGACAGGTGCAGGAGCGGGGTAATAGGACGACGTATTTGCTTCCTCACTGAAAGTGCTCCGTAACTCCGGCTCAGGCTCGAGACATTCTGACTTTACTTTTTCCAAGTCAATGGCGGGACCTAGGCAGTTAAGAAAAGAGATCTGTCTAGAACTCCAAGGAAAATAAAAGGCAAATATTTTTAACTACGCATCTATCAGCACATAGTGGCACAAAAAAAAATATGGCTGGCTTTTGTCCATTGAACTACACTTCAACCCAGGCTTGAAAATAAATACAAATGTCATAAGGGAAAAAGGTAGAAAACTGGAAGACAAGAATGGATTGGACTCTAAGTATGAATGAGAAGCAGTCTTCTAGGGTGTCACTGTCTGAATGGAAATGCAGGAGACTTAACTTCCTGCACAGGAAAAGAGGTCCTGTTCAGACTGGGCTACAGAAAGGCTGGCAATTACTGCAATATGCGAATTGTGTATTTGCCAAAACTCCCTATCTGCAGCCTACCGTGGAGCAAGCTACAGCAGAAGAAAGGAGGTTAGGAAAGCAGTGGGGACAAATGCAAAGACCTCCCCCTCCCCAAGACCTAATATCTAGACAGGAGCATTGCAACCAAGAAATTAAAATACAATACAGATTAGACCCTGATTGCCTGATCCAGCAGCTACCCTGATTTTTATTTTAATGCAATCAATACAAATTATGTGCAGTTTAAACATGAAAGGAAGCTAGATAAATGAGGGTGGCTTCTAAGGGGCTAGTTTTTCTTCACTAGCTTTTAAAAATGATGGACTATTTTTTAAATCACCTATTGTGTCTTGATTACCAAAGGGCAGAGAAACATGATGAAAATGAGTAAATAAGGCTGAATGACTTGATTAACTTTTACAGGAGAGCACCTCCAGAGGTCAATGGACAGTTTAGCATCCTGGCAATTTTTCCCATACAGACATTTCAGGAGTTGACTGGGATCAGAAACTCAACAACTGCCTCGGCAGGTCCCCAGGACTATGCATATAACTTAAGTGACCAGTGAAGTTCATGGTCCAACCTTCTCTTACCCTAACCATGTGGACTGCTTGGTACAGGGCTCTTTATATTCTAAAGCCCTGACCAACAGTCTCATTGCAGTTCTATGCTCAATTGCCACATCCTACATTTTGGCTGGTGGAAGGTAAAGTATTGGAGACTGTCTTATGGAAATTCCTCATTACAGGGCTTCTCAGAGCAAGAGTATCATTCCTCAGTTGCTGACAGATAGGATCTGCAAGACAGAATCTCTGCAGCCTCCACTGACTTTAGCATGAGCTTTGCACAAAGCTGAATGCACCATGGCTGGGGAGCAAAGCAGTGTAAACAGGTATGGCTCATCTCAGCAGAGTAAGTTCAGGTCCCATTCCTGACCCTGCTCCGTTTAACTGTGTGACCACAGGGGAGAGAAGTGCAGATACAGCAGTGAGCAGGATGGGGGTGCTGAGAGCAGCACGGCCAGAATGAGAGTCGTTTTGACAGCGTCTCCCAGGGCTGTGTGGCTTATCCACAGGTTGGGCCTAGGTCTTATCTTCGCTTTGCCCCTGCACGTGGCACTGAGTAGGTGCTCTTGGAATGTTTGCTAAATGAATAAAAGAATAAAATGAATGAGTAATTCTAAAGTTTTGGAAGCAGATGTCAAAGTTTCTCCTCTCTCTGGGTGAGATCTCAGATTGAATTTCTGAGAAGTGGAGCATTTGATCTTTTCTTCCTTCAGGGGAGAGGCAGTTGCCTCACTTTCCCCTGCAGGACGTGGCAGGGGCGGCAGGTGAAGTCACTTCCAGCTGTGAGAGGCCGTGATGGGAGAAAGGACTGGGCTGACAGGAGGAGGTCCATGCAGCCCCTGGCTCACATGGGCCATCTTTGGCAAAATCATGCCCTTCCTCCGAAGTCTCCCTTTCCTTCTATGAGAGGAAGATGTTGGACAAGAGAGTGGGTCCAGTTCAGCTCTGAATTTAGTCTGGTTCTCTCCCACCTACCTCTACAGTGACTGCCAAAGAGATCTCTCCATGACCTTGTCTTTGCTTTGGCACCCCATTACCCTCAAAATGAAGCCACACATCACAGCCTCCTCAAGGCGCAGACCAATCAGCCCCCTCTCTGCATTCCTTTCTTGCTCTGCCCCCGACACTCATCCTGTGTGGTCCCCATATGCTGTGTAGTCCCAGGCCTCTGTGCCTTTGGATGTGCCGCCTTGGCCTTGAAGGCCGCCTCATCTGCCTGCCAAGCACCCTCTCCCCCGACCTTAGATGTCTCCTTTGCAAGGCACTGCTCTGATCACCACCAGGTAGGGGGGGGCTCTACATTGTAAATAACTTCCAGCGAATCATGTTTGCAATCATCTGACAATCTGTTTTTTGTCCACATCAAACTGAAACTTCAAGGGCAAAGTTTTTCTCTCTTTGTAATCTCAGTGCCTAGGTTAGTGCCTGGCACACTGCAGGCTCTCAGTAAATTCTTTGTGACAGGCCAGAAGGGAGAGAGAGCTGCAGGGGAGGAAGGGACTAAAATGGGCTGGGGCAAAGATTTGGAAATAAAGCCCCATTGCAGAGTTGAGGAACTTGGGGGCTGGGGAGGGTGTGAAGCTGTTCTCAGATGTCTGTCACCTTTTTTGCAGCCCATGAAGTAGAAATCAGGATGTTTAAATAGAAATTGGAAACTTCTTGCCAGGCGAATGGACAGTTCAGATGGCTAGAGAGGAACACAGGAGGGACATCACAGGCGGGGAGGGCTGGGAGTCTCGCTCCGGGTCCTCCCCCGCTGGGCCCCTCCTCACTGTCAGATGCTACTCCAGAGCAGCCTGCTGACTCTCTCCCCCCACACACCATTCCTTCCTGCTTCTGGATCCTTGTGTCCTTCCCTGGGTCCGGATCATTCTACCCTACCTACACATGTTCCCCTCGCCAAGCTCCAGCAAGGATTCAAGGCCTGACTCGAATGTCACCTCCTCCAAGAGGCTGCTGCATTCCTTGAATGGAGGTAAGTAAATCTCTCTACCCTTGGCTTGGAATTTGGAGTCAGAGACTGTAGTTTAAATTCTACTTACAGTTTGCCACTCACCGTTGAGGTAAGCTGTGAGCTTCCTCAGGTAGCGCTTCTGCCCGGCTCTGGAACCACCGCACCCCATAGTAATCAGATGCACAAATATGTTTCTAAGTCTGTCTCCCCCTACCAGACCGAGAGGCCTGAGGGCGAGTGGGGACTGTGGTGCTTTATGTCAGAGAGCCTTAAATCACCTATTACACAAGGCCTGGTTCAACTTGCAGCCTCAACAGGTAATTAACACATCAATAATTACTTAATTTTTCTGACCCTGTGGCCTCACCTAAGAGGAGGAATGACAATAGCCACCTGGGAAGATTGAAGATTAAATGAGTTAACCACATACAGTTCATCCAGTCTGGCACACAGTGGGCACTCAGTAAACAGCGGCTCACCCCCCGCCGCTCCTCCCACACACAAGCATTACATGTGGGTGCTCAAGTCAGTCCACTACCAACTGCGGCATCCGTGAGCTAGGGGCCTTCTGCCCCAGTGCCTTGCATGCCCAGCATGAAGCGGTCCCTGCACGCCACCACACCCCTGCACCCCACTGTGCTCACTCCTGCTGGTCTCCACAAAGGCTGAGAATTTTGTCAAATGCTGAGAGTACAGCACTGGGATCCTCTAGCTTTCAAGGAAAACTATTTCCTACCACTTCGGGTCAGCACCGTTTAACTCTCAGGGCTGTCAGCTGTTAGCACTGCTCTCCACAAACTGCCTCCTTTCTCAGCAGCATACAGAGATGGTGAGACGGTGCCTGGTGCCCCTGCCTCAGCACGGAGGGCAGAGCAGCCAAAGGCACATCGTGGAAGCGGTTCATCAGGATACCTGGGAGGAATCCCAGCTGCATGAACTTCGACCCACCTGACTGCACCTCAGCTTTCCTACCTGCAAAATGGGAATTATCAGCAGACACCACGCCGGCTGGTAATGCCTCTGGAGGAAGCCAGTACTGAGGCAGGCACAGAACAGAGGATCAGACAGAGGCTTAGAAAATACCAGACCAGTGAAGGAAGGAATCAGTCAGTAAAGTGGGGTGTTTAATATTACAGAACCAGAAAGAAAAGGAATGGAAAGCATGTGGTTTCTTTGGGGCGAGGAGGGAGGGTCTCTAGTGCTTTTAATTTAGGATGAGGAAAAACACTTCACTGCAAATTTTAGTGGGCTTCGCTAGATGCTGGCAATTTACATCTCATTACAACAAACGCTTCAGATTGCTGTTTTGCTTTTAAAATTTTCTGAGGCATTGTTCTCCTTCAAACCCATGTGACCAAATTAGTCACAATAACAAGCACTTGCACTAAGACACAGCATTGTACAATCTGGTGTGGATATTTTAAGTAACAAAGAAACTTTTTTCACTTTGTGGGAAGAGTAGAATAAAAAAAAAGAGCCTTTTGATTCACTTCAGGTTTATTTTGGGGAAAACATACCTTCCGTGGAGAGAAACCTCTCAGCTGGGTAAAGGAAGCTTTTCAAAGAGTATAAAAGGTAGTACTTGTCTGTCCATTCATTCATGAAGCCACTCAGCACCCAATCCTGACTGCATATCAAGAGCAAGGCCCTAAAAGAGGCACTGCCCTGGGGACCCAGGGACAAATGCAGCATGTCCCAGTTCTGGAGAAGATGAGAATTTGTGTGTGAAACTCAGTTACATCGCATACAAATAGCTGGGATTTTATGGGCAAGCCCTGGGTTTAGGGTTAGAAAACCAGGTGCTAATTCCTGTTCTGTTTTTAACTTTACCTCTTCAGCCCCAGGAGCCACTTCCATAAAAAGGGAATCAATGCACAGAATAAGGGGCTTGGTAAATGTGGTACAACAAATAAAGGAAATTATACCGTTTCTCTGCTCTTGTCTAGCTTAAATTGGATGAATTCTTCTTCCCAAAAACTCTTCTAAAAAGCTAATGCTTGTGTGACTTCCAGGAGGTGCAGAATTCACCTACTTCTTCAAAATGTCTATGTTTGGACACTAAATACCATTTCTGATTTCTGTTGAAACAGAAAGAATAACATTAGAGCTTTCTTAAATAATACTAAATCCTTTCAT